TTTTCAAACCAACTCGAACCATCCAACAGACTTTGAGATCGGCCAAAGACAAACGGGATTCTTTATCAGCACCAGGAGTCTACAGAGTTCCGTGCAGCTGTGGAAGAGCATTCATCGGCACCACAAAACGAAGCATAAACGAAGTTGCAGATTGGGGCAAACAGAAAAATCAGCTGTAGGGAAGCTCGCACTGCTAGACGGCCACCAAAAACGCTTCGACGAAGTGGACATTCTGCACCAATCTGAAAGATACCACCCGAGACTCACCAGAGAGGCCATCGAAATATTTAGACACCTAAACAATTTCAACAGAAAAGAAGAAATTACGGCACTCAACCCAGATTGGAAGCGCGTTTTGCGCCAAACAGCATGTGCGCCGAAGCGTTGGAACCCCCACCCATCCCCCACGCATGAGCACACACGGCAGTTGAATCAGTCTTCGTCGGAAAGCACGGGAGATCACTTCGCCCACTGCCTCATCGCCTTTGATGATGTCCACCGCACTTGTGGACGAAACGTCAGCAAGAAAAGCCTTCATAGTCTGATAACCAATCAGTTTGGTTGAAGTTGAACCAAACGGGGAAAAGTTGGGCTGGTACCGTTTGATCAGTGTCGTGCTTGCGCGTCCTGCCCGACTTCAATGAGCTCACATTGGGCACCACCAGCAGCGAGAACCTTTCGCACAGGAACTCGGAGTTTTCGCTGGCAGAGCGCAGAACAGGGAACGGCACCAGGTAGAGGTCGCTTTCCAGCACCAGGATCAGCTCCCGTTTGTTGGTTCCGTTTTTGGAGTTGCTCCCTGCAAAGGGTGATGGGTTAGAGCTCGACCAGGCAATGAAATTGAGTATTGCATACCTTTGGCCGGCAAGTACTCTTCGAACGGTTGCAGCAGCAACGTATAGAGCGCGTGCAGGCAGCTGGGGCCTTTCCAGGCTTGGCGCTGCGTGACGCGAGTGGAGCCCTGCGCGCTCGAACTGGATCGGGTGCTGCCTTGCAGCGACGCCACCGAACCGCCGACGCTGCCCAATGAGAACAGCGAGCTGAGCGAGTAGTTGCTCGAGTTGAGCAAATGGTGCCGGTTCACCATCCGCAGGAACCCTGGGCCCAATGCGCTCGATTAGTCGCTAGGAGCGGAACCCTGCGGGCGTTGCGGCTTACCGGTTCTCTCCGAAAGCGTCTCGTCCAGGTACTGGTCCTCTGCAATGGTGGTGCAGGGGCTCAGCTCCAGCCCCAAGCTGTCCCGCACTGAGGTGACCAGCTTCTCCAGAAGCCCAGTGCCGGCGGGCACTGGGTCGATGTGGCTGCACCCATCGGACGAGTCCTGGCCCTCCATTAGTGGGGCTGAGTGGAACTTGACCACGCCTGCAACACCCAGAGCGTCAGCAGGTGTTTCCCCAGCCACTTGGTTTGGGTGCCGCCACTGACCTTTGGTTGGCAGGATCAGCCAGGCGTGGAGGAACCCGGCCGCTATGCTGTAGTACAATGCGGCCGCCCGCTGGCGGTTCACAATGTCCTTGATGTGATCCAGAGTGCCGATGCTCAAAGCCTCAATTTTGCCCGCCTTGGTCCTGGGGCGGTGCTCATGGCCTTGCCGCTCCAGGAGCAGGTCCACAAACGCCCGGTTTCGACCCCGTTCCGCCGTCACCAGGGCCTCGTCGCCTCTGTTCAGAGCTGTGGGCCAGCAGGAGTTCAGGCAGGGTCCCCCAGAGCACCGCAGACCACTTACCAACCAACACCCGCTGCAGCACTTGGTAGCTGGACGTTTGCAGGTCGAACAAGCTCAGCTTGTACTCGGAACTGTTCCGGCTCTCCAGGCGAATGTTCTCCAGAAGATGCGCGGCGGACTCCAGCTGCTTCTGGGCGCCATCCAGGTCCCCATTGGCGTACAGCGCCAGCCCAAGTCGATTGCGAATCTTCGCCTGAAACTCCCGCCCAGTGAGCAGCACCGAAGTTGGCTGTTTACCTCTTCGAGAAGTGCCTACCTCTTCGTCCCTGCGGCCCAGGGCCTCAGCAATGCACAGGCCTTGAGTGAGGTAAGCGATGGCTTGCGCCCGGTTGCCGAAGAGCTGATGGACCCGCCCTAAGGAGCTGTACGCCATCGTTTTGGCTATTTGGTCGTTGGTGCTCATCGCGATGGACAGGTGCTGCTCCTGGAAGCGCACCGCCTGGTCCAGATTGCCCAAGGCCTCGTAAACGTTGCCTGGAACGTGCGTTGGTTAGTGTGGGACTGGTGAGTTGAAGTGGGACACTTGCCAATGTTGCCACATGCTCGGCTCTGCAGGCTGGGCATGTCCAGCTGCTCGGCGATCTCCAGGTCGTTCTGGTGGAACTTGAGGGCGGCGCTGAACTCGCCCATTTGGTGGTAGACGTTGCCCAGGCCGCACAGCGACTCCGACTCCATGATGCGGTCGCCTAAAGCCGCCTATCGGTTAAAGGGAAATTGTTTTGATGGGGAATTGAGCACCTAAGTCCCTGGCAATATTGCGCTGATGGTCCAGGCAGGAGACCGCTTGCTCCAGGTTCCCCAAGGCTGCATGCAGCTGGCCCAACTCCCCATAGCCGGCGGCCTTGGCGTCGGGACTGCCCAGCTCATGGGACATGACCAGGCGCTTTTCCAGACACACCAGCGCCTGCTGGAGGTTGCCCAGGGAGCGCTGCGATTGGCCTGCAACATTCCCATAGTTCTACCCACTCAAGCCCCACTGCGGCCTCCATACCTAAGCCTCTGTAGGCGCGCTCCTGGTCCCTGGGGCTTTTCAGCTTGAGCGCGATGGAGAGGTACTGTTCGTGGCACTTGGCCGCCTCCTCTGGATCGCCCAGGGCGTCGTAGCAGTTGCCCAGGCTGCCGAATGCGCGCCCCTTGTCCAGCTGGGCGGTGGAGGAGGAGAGGCGCTCCAGCGTCGCCAGCTGTTGCTCGAAGTAGCCGATGGCGTCCTCATAGTGCGCCATGTTTAGTCTGGAACAGGGCCAGGGGGTGAGCGGGGGCTGCGCCGCGCGCCAAGGGGCTTACCGGGCGATGCCCAAGTTGCCGTAGGCCTGCGCCTCCACCGCGCAGTCCTGCAGGTCTTGCGCCCTTTCCAGCTGCTCCTGGTAGCATTTGACTGCGTGCGTGTAGTTGCCCAAGGCCATGTGCACGGCTCCTAGGTGGCCATGCGCGCGACATTCTCCTCCCAGCTCGGACATCTCTTGGCGCAGCGTCAGTTCTTGCGTGTGGTACCCTGCGGGCAACATTGTTGGGTACTTTGTGCTAGTTGGGCTCCTCTGGAGCTTACCAAGGGCCTTGTCCAGGCGCTTGAGGAGCCTGTGGGCGGTTCCAAGGGCTCCGCAAGCCGCCGCCTCCATTGTTCGGTCGCGATTGCTCCTCGCCAGCGCCAGCTGTCTGTGGTACATTTTAACCGCCTCCTCAGTCTCCTGCAGCTTGATCAGAACGTCGCCGATGTTTCCAAGCGCCCGAAATTTGCCTAAATCGCCCCAAATCAGCCAGTTTATTCTACAGCCGCTCTGTGGCTGAGTGCGCCACAATTTTAGGGCCAGCGCAGAAAAATTAATCACAGGCAAGGACCAGGGGGAAAATGTTGCTGAAGTTCCAACTTTGAGAAGAAGTTGTACATGCTTTCCTGACTGTGTTTCAAATCCAAATCAAAATCAATTCCTGGGCTTCAGTCATTTATTGTCTATTTATCAATTAAAATACGTTTCGGTGTTTTCCACCATCATCAGTTTCTATGTGTAGCGTTGTTTGTGCAACAACGCCAATAAATTGACGCTGTTGTTCATGGGTCATTTCCCAGAATTCTTTACTTATAGCATTTTGTCTCCATATGACAATTGCTTGAGTGCATTTTTTTGCACAATTTTCCTTACATGTTTCTTGCACGTCATGCTGTGCAATTTTTTCCTCTCTTTTCAGTTTCTTTGTTTTCTGTAATGATTTGCTGTAACTTTTCCGTTTTCGTACTTTTCCTTGTTTTGTGATTGATTTGGCAATTCAGACTCCACAGTAAAATCTGGATCGTGTGAATTATCAATAGAATTTTGGTTTAGTCTGCTATGTAAATTATTAGCACTATATGTGGACATTTTTTGAGCTAATTCCTTGTTTAGGGCCAGTAAAACTAACATTTGAACGTGAAATAGTTAAATATAAGATACTTGCCTTATTCGCTATATCAACAGAATACTAAAATACCATAAACAACAAAATTTCTCTAACCACACTTGCATATACCGACAAACGGCAAAAAGACGGTACCATTCGATAGGTAATTAAAAATTGCATTTCCTGGTAAGCTAAAAAATATGGGGTTGTATTTAAATTAATCAAGTTATAGCCACTTAAAGTT